TCCTCTTGTACCACTGTTTGAAGAATTTATCTTCCAGGCAGTAAGTTTTGGGAGTTCATTTTTAGTCCATCTCGAGATTTTATCTGTAGAAGATAACCTGCTTAATAATTATGCACACCTGAATATAAGGCGTTTTTCACTTCCAGCCTTCATGAACAATAATATATAGATTATAAGTGATTAAATACAAGATTAATAGAAGTTATTAAGACTGATGTCGTTTGGAATTGGTAAAATGTGCTTGGAAAAAAATATATAATCAGAATATCAACTATGCATGCACTGTATTTTTCCTCTTCTGCTGTCGTGGTAATGCAAGGAATGTTGTGATTGGTTGTCAAGGCAGCCAATCATAATTTAGCAGCCTCGTCTCTGATTGGCTGGAATTATGGCATATTGTAAATGTTGGCATTTAGCAAGCACTGAGGGCATCAGGTGAGCAAGCTAGTGAAACGTTGCACGCGCAAAAGAGAAGATCTGCACACATCCAAAAACTTATTTAAATGCAAAATAGATTTTTGTGCGCTCAAAATGGTTTTTTCTTTGCAAAACTAACATTTTCTCCACAAAAGTCAGATCCCGCGCGTGGAAATTGCACTTTTGTGCACTCGAAATATGATCTTTCGCCACAGAATTGTGGCAGAGATCTAACCCTATAGGGGCGGGGCTTACCGATAGGTAAATTCCGCGGGAAAACGGCGGACTTGGCAACACTGAGCACAATTCATTGTACAGCCTCGTTTTCATTCCCGTCAAATATTGCGCTACCCTGACTGAGATCTATTCATATCCATTATGATATCTCCGACGCATTTATGAGATACTCACTGATAGAACTGATGAAGTTTACCTTGGTGAAATGCACAAGAGCGACTCCTATGCTTGACCTCACAGCCCCAACAAACATGGCGACGGTCGCCTGACACGATACAGTTACGTTTCTATAGCAACGCTGCAACTCTCGCGATAACAGCGACCGCGAGATTGCCTGACTGCGGCGCCCTATTTCCTTTCCTCGCTGTAAGTGCGAGGGCTCCGGCAGAAATCGAGTCGTCAACCATCACAAACTGTAGTCACAAACAACGTTTAACTTTCATTTGTAGGCGAGCACCACACCCGCGGTTCATAAGTTAGGCCAGGCTGTTGTTTCTGAAGCGCCTCGGCGTGTTTGAGGCGTTAGTTTGAGGCGTAAACAGTGTGAAAGAGGAGTTGTGGGTGGGTTTGACGGTTATGGCAGCACCGCGACCCATTAAAGGGATCCTGAAGAACAAATCCAGCATCAAAGCCCGACCCGAAGAGCCAGTCCAGGACACCCCAGAACCAGGAGCCCCTCTCAACTCTGAAGACGACCAGCAGTGAGTAACTAGTCTGTGAAACGGCTTAAATCAGTCAGACAGGGCGGCTGTAGCGCCTCTGACATGTTGTTGACCTGAGCTAGCACACTTAACCAGTCCTCTAGGCAGAGTTTCACTGGTTTGCTCCAGTTAGATTACTGGGTTAGTAGCTTGGGCTGCTGAAAGGTTAGCCACTGACCTGTCATGTCAAGCAGAACCGTCCTGCTGGATTGAACACAAGTGCAGCAGCCTGTTTACTGACCGTCTGTGTTACAGTCCGTCTCTGAGCCTGTTATCTACACGCACAGCTCAGTGGTGTGTGTGAAATATGGATTCACAAGCAGCAGAAGTGTTGCTGTTGTTTTCAAGCGTATACATTAGGTAACAATGACGTTAAAAACTCTATAAAACGTTTTATTAAGAATATTATTAAATGCAGACATTTAAGTTAAATATGAATAGGACACTCAAGAAAACTTCTAAGAGCATTCGTGAGACTTATTTCACCCCAAACTTTTACTTGCTTTTAAGCCAAAATTCTGGTTAGATTTCTTGTTTTTATTACTTCTCTCTCTCTCTCTCTATATATATATATAGATAGATAGATAGATATAGATATATTCTAGGGCTGTCACTAACAACTATTTTTACTTCGATAATCGATAAATTAGTCGATAGATTAATCTTAACGATTAATTTCCCACAAAAAAAATCAACAATTTCACTTAAGAATATTTTATTAAACTATATTTTATTAAACCAAATGAAATCCAAATTTCTATGAAATCCTTTTTTTAAAGCAAAAGTAAAGTGCAACATAAAGTGCAAGAAGCAAGTGTCCGTCTCATAGTCCAAATCACTGAAATCAAAGTTCAGTATTATAGTGTAAGAATGACAACATATCCACTTGTTCTTGTCTGCTAATAATACAATTATAAATCAAAAAACACTTTTTAAAGGAGTATTTACCAGAAATGTTATTTACCAGAATTTATTTAGGAGAAAAAATGTAAATGTGCAGTATTTCTGAAAAAAAAAACAAAAAAAACTTTATATATATTTTTTTTTATATATAAAGTCAATTAATTGGAGATGATTATGAGATTGATTATTAGAATTTAATGGAACCATTAAAATGGAATGCAGAAAATAATGGAAAACAGAATTTGGTGAAGATAAAACTGTAAAACTCAATTAATTAGACAGGCTTTTTGATTAATAAAATGTAATTTAACCGTTAAAACAGAGTATAGAAAAATGGAAAAATAAAAAATAAAAACTGATTTTGGAAGTAAAACCGATTTCATAGGGCCCTATAATTATAATTACTTTTTTTGTGGTAATAAAAATAGATGTAAGTGAACAATAGCCTTTAAAATGACTTAAAATACATATATAATAGCAATGAGGCAATAATAATTAGTTCAAATAAAGTATCAAAAGCAAGAAATCATATGGTTTTATTGAACAAAATTGTTAAAATACATAATGTATTATAAACAATAGCTAATGTACATTACGCATTACAACAAAGGCCTGGAGGGGCGCCAACGGCCTGAGGATTGTTTTTACACATTACTGTGCGATCTAATCTTGGTTTAATACTGACCAAGCACCATTTCATTCAAATGTTCACTTAATCTTTAATATTTGTATATATATATATATATATATATATATATACCTACAGTACAGTAAAGTGTAGTGATCAGAATATTTTTCCATCTACATACTTAAAATTCATGATTATAATAACACACTACAAAAATCTTAATGTTCTAAGCAGTTAATTAAAACTGAAACTAAAATTAAAACCATAAAAAGCACTTGAAACTAAAATAAAAAGCTTTTTTTATTTCAACAACATTTTTTACATTTTAATTTAACTTAAAAAAAAAAATATATATATATATATATATATATAAAACAGGAAAAATGTAAATAAATTTAGCTACAGCTTGAACTAAAATGAAAACCGAAATATACAAATAAAAAACAGATTCAAAATAAGTAAAAAACAAAGTGTATCAATGATACTAAAATAACACTGGTTTTTAAAAATAGGCTTATTGTTATGCATGATATTTTCTTTCTTTCTTTTGGCTTTTGGGTGAAACGACATTCCCAGCATTGACATCTTTAAAGTATTTCTTTAGTAATTAAAGAAAATCTGAAAATATTAACCATGTTCATGTTAAGTTGGTTAAGTCAAACCAAAACATGTCAACACAAAGGTGGAATAACAGCAATTGTCCTGTCAGTCTGGCTATCATGAAACACAGCAGTCACTGCAGATTTATAGAATTAGAAGAGTGGGGGCGGCGCTTGTATAAATTGATCTCATTCGTTTTGACATTCACTCGTCCAGAGACGCTCTTAGGAGTCATGGAAGTGTGACTCTCTGCTGATGCACTTTCTTTCCTGGAAGTCAGAGAAGTTGTCTCATGTCAAGGATGCGACCGAAATAATGCCGATCCCATTTCCTTGTTAACTGAGCCGACTGGCTTTATCAATACTCGGCACATGTATTGATTTGTGCTTTTAGGTCGGCCAAAATTTGATGTTCAGAAACATAGATAAAGGAAGTCCAAAACCTCCTGGTTCTGGAGAGCTTGTGTTGTCCGTACGGCTCGTGTCGATGTATGTAGGTGTGCTTTTTGGCTTGCCAGCTTCCTCTGCCTCCTATTCCTCTCTCGCCAGAAGACATTGTTCTTGAATCCAGCTCTCCCACTCTTAGGAAAATAGGACACACTGTAAGAATGGCACTTATTACTGAATTCCTGTCCTGTGAGACAACTGAGCAGACTGCAGTGACACTAAATTAGACACTATTTAAAAAAAAAAAAAAAAAATTAATTGATGCACCTAACTACTCGATAACTAAAGTATTATTCATTGTAGTATAATATTATAATATTTCTCTTGTCCCACAACAAACAAAGAATGAAATGATGTCAGAGTGTTAATTTAAAATTTATAATGAAATAAATAAATAATCTAATAATAGTGTATTAGAGAAAACTGTTGAACAGAGGCAGTAAAGTAATGCAGACAAAGAATGGGATTTGGCATTTACATCGCTGTCAAAGTAAAAGTCCCACTTCTGAGACATCGGACAAACAGTAACTTAGCGGCCGATGCTGACAATTTAAAAAATGCCAAATTTTGTCCAATATATTGGCCTTTGTCAAAAAAAGTTGGGAAGTTTCCAAAATTTCTGGAATGTTTCCGAAATTTACTGGGAATTTCCCACCTTTTTGCAACCCTAGGTTTGCTACAGAATACTACAGTATATTTTTCAATCCCGTTAAGTTTAAATGAGTTACTGCAGAGTGAGAGAAACTAAAACACATATAACCCCCCCCCCCCCCCC